GACTAACATTAAAAGTAAGGTGTGTTTTTTCCTTCTCCTGTAAAGTTACCATTTTGGAGATACAAGGTTTTGTTCTGACTGTAGCGATATCTAAAGTTTCACATTATCTCATTAATGAGAAGCATTTTATAAGATTACTGGAATTAAGTTCTAGATGTATTTTACCTACAATAGAACAAGACCGAATTGATAGATAAATTGATTTAAAACAAGTGAGTCAAATAATGAGAAATATTATTAACATATGCTGACTAGATTGAAGATCATTTAATTTGCCAGTGTATATATCATTTTTGCTGGGTTACTACTATATTTATGATCATAATCATCATTCTTATTACCATGTTCTTGTCTTCTGGAGTTTCCCCTTTCTCTCTGAAACTGGTTACTATCATGAGGATGTTTCTCAAAAAAAAATTGCAGTGTACTAAGCAGAACTGGATCTAGAACATAACTATGGTACTATTTTAGTGCAGTGTCTTGAGGAAATTTTGAACCGTCTCAGGTGTTCTTTATTTTCAGAAGAAAAAAAAAGTTTACATCTGTGTTTTTGTTGTTGTTGTTGTTGTTGTTGTTGTTTGTTGCTTGGTTATTTTTACATGACCCTCGCTTCCAGGCTTCTCATTGGTAGACACAAAAGTAACCTATGAAAGCTGTAGCTACAAAGCTCATCTGAACCTGTAGTGTAGGAGATGATTAGTTGCCATGCCTAGACTCGCTCTCGCGTAGCTTTCGCGCGTGTCCGGATGCCATAGCTACACGCTGGAGATACTGATGCAAATTTGTGTCTGTCTATGAACAAGTCTGGAAGGATGGAGGGTGCGAGTACACACCTTCCGTCAGGATTGTAATGCATGCTAACACTTAAGGGTGATCTGCGACTCGTATGAAGGTCATTTCTAGTTCCTGGTGTGTTCGGCCTCTCTTTTGTAGCTCGACTACTGAGTTAGTGAAGAGGAGCGCAAGCTTAAGTCGCAACCATGAAATGAAAAGGCCCGAGAGTATGTATTCACTGTTGTTGTTGTTGTTGTTATTGTTATTGTTATTGTTATTATTATTATTATTATTATTATTATTATTATTATTATTATTATCATCCTTTTTTTTTGTTTGTTTTTTGTAAATTGTTGGAGACACTGTTTGGTGACACAAAAAGCCTGTTGAAGCTTTGAAGTATTTGATACCAGTTGTGTATTAAAAGGTATGTGGGTATCTAGCTGTAACTAACGCTGTTGTTTCATGAATTTTTAATTACCACTTGACTTTTTTTTAACCATCCTAGCTAACCAACTTAAGTTATAAAATGAAGAATGTCTTTTAGAATCGGGGAAAAAAAAAAAGAGTGAAAAATGCTCTGAGCTGAGAAATGTATTGGATTTAGCTAATGAAGAAATGAATGGATGTAAATATGAATTGTCTGTTAATGCCCTTCAGTTACGGCACTGTCATTGTGATAGTGTTCCAAAGCACATATGTACAGTTTGTATAAGTCTTGAATAAGAGGAGGGACTGAACAGAGTATGTAAAATATTGTCTTTTTTTTTGCTTTTTCTTTTTTATTTGTTCCCATCTGCACCATCAATGCTAGTTTCTGCCACTGATAGAAGTACAAAATCAAGCCAGCCAGTAGTCTTATTTGGAGCTGTAGAGTTCGGCTGTGTGTTTAGGCATTTATTTGTACCTTTTTTGTCTTTAAGTCATCTCTGTGGTGAAGCATTTGTCAAACCTTCAGTTCCTTGATCAATAAAACTTGGTATTCATCCTGTGGGGTTGCATCTTGTCCACTCTAACATGGCCAGCAGATGGCAATATAGGTTAATGATGATGCTGTTCAACTGCCTTATAACCGTGTCTGTGGGAGTGTAAAATGGTTAATAAGTACAAGTTATTATTTTTCCAGGAGGTATTTCTGGAGAGAGTATATATAAGGTACTCCACTTACTCAAGGAATGGGGAAGTCAAAGGAGAATAAGAGAAAAAAAAAAGACAGACAAAAAAAGAACACTAGCAAATCAAACAAATAAGCTACTGGTGTTCTCAGAATGATGGACTGACCACCCCAGAGTCCAGATCTAAACATGCATAACATAATCCAAATTTTCCCGAACACTGAATGTGAAAAGCAAAAAATGAAAAGAAGCAGAAAAGTCCATTCTCTAAACACACTACTACTAACTAATTAATGAATGTGTGTGTGTATGTGTGTGTGTGTGTATGTGTATATATATATATATATATATATATATATATATATATATATATATATACACACACACATACACACACACATACACACACACATACACACACACATACACACATACACACACACACACATACACACATACACACACACACACATACACACATACACACACACATACACACACACATACACACACACACACACACACACACACACACACACACACACATCAAGCATAACATTATGACCACCTCCTTGTTTCTACGCTCATTGTCCATTTTATCAGCTCCACTTACTATATAGGTGAACTTTGTAGTTCTACAGTTACAGACTGTAGTCCATCTGTTTCTCTGATACTTTGTTAGCCCCCTTTTACCCTGTTCTTCAGTGGTCAGGACCCCCATGGACCCTCACAGAGCAGGTACTATTTGGGTGGTCGATCGTTCTCAGCACTGCAGTAACACTGGTGATGTGTTAGTGTGTGTTGCTCTGTGAGTGGATCAGACACAGCAGTGCTGCTGGAGTTTTTAAACACTGTCCACTCACTGTCCACTCTATTAGACACTCCTACCTTGTCAGTCCACCTTGTAGATGTGAAGTCAGAGACGATAGCTCATCTGCTGCTGCACAGTTTGTGTTGGTCATCCTCTAGTCCTTCATCAGTGGTCACAGGATGCTGTTGGCTGGGTATTTTTGGTTCGTGGTCTATTCTCAGTCCAGCAGTGACACTGAGGTGTTTAAAAACTCCAGCAGCACTGCTGTGTCTGATCCACTTAGACCAGCACAACACACACTAACACACCACCACGTCAGTGTTACTGCAGTGCTGAGAATGATCCACCACCCAAATAGTACCTGCTCTGTGAGGGTCCATGGGGGTCCTGGCCACTGAAGAACAGGGTAAAAGGGGGCTAACAAAGTATGCAGAGAAACAGATGGACTACAGTCTGTAATTGTAGAACTACAAAGTGCACCTATATAGTAAGTGGAGCTGATAAAATGGACAATGAGTGTAGAAACAAGGAGGTGGTCATAATGTTATGCCTGATCGGTGTGTATATATACACGTGTGTGTGTGTGTGTGTGTGTGTGTGTGTGTGTGTGTGTATATTAGTCTTTGACTTTTGCATAATATTGTGCCTATACAAACCTCTTCACATTTTTGATCTGATTAGTGATATTTATTCTAAATAGAATTGTGTGAAAATGTAGTTCCAGGCACACAGTGTAGAGTGTTGAAATGCTACGCTTCGTTTTCTTTTACATGCACTCCTGACTGAACACAAAACAGAGTGCATTAGGTGGTGTTAATATGATGGTAGGTTGAGAACATGCACCTCTCAGATTATAGGAAAAGCTCTGGATGCTGGACCAAGAACAGTCAGAGTTTAGTAAGGAGCCCATTTAGCTCACAACCATTAGCAGTGTATCACTTACACACAGGATCTCTTGGTTTGGATTGAATTCAAGGAAAAGTGTTTTCTGAGTCTTTTTCACTATAATGGCTTTGTGTCAACCACCACTGACCCTCTCTTTAAAGGGCAGTTCCTGTCGGAGTGGTGTGGTGTAAAATGCTCTATTCTAGAGAAACTCACCACAGCCATTTTATTTACTGTCCAAAACTACCAGTGAACCTAGACGTCTTCTGAGTTTTTCTATGTAATTTTGATGATGGTAAAATAGTGGTAAATCTGAAAAAAAGGGTTTCTTTGGGGACTGTTTTGCGTTATAACACCCTGCATGTACCTCTCAGCTATGAATGATTTAACAGGTTTTAGGCCAAAATCTTATCTCAGCTATCATAAAACAGTGTCTCGGACATAAGGGAGCATATTTGTAACTATTTTCTTGTAATAACTTTCTGCAAAGTAGGTTTTAAAGCCTTAAACTTTTCAAATTTCTGCTTATTATCACTACCACTGTGAATAATTGTGACATGAATATTTTCTTTAGAATGAAATATTTCATATCAAATCAAAGTCAAAATTACATTTTAATAATTGAATTATGCAGGAATTTAGAAAAATCAGCAGAGTTACTTGAATGAAATGTGTGTTTCTCACTATGACGACATGGCGTTAGCCACCACTGACCCTCCCTTTAAAGGAATCATTCAGAGAGACATCAGATTTATTTGATGTAGTTGATAGGCCGAGAAATGTTTGGAGTTTTAGGCTAACATTGCTAACAAACACTAGAACGCAGTAGTCACCCAAATAGCCCAATAGCTGTGAAAATCACTAAAAGCACTAAAATTTTATTTCAATGCTGCCCATAGTTTTGTTCAGTTTTATAGTTCACAGTAAGTCATACTGTGTCTTAAACCACATCAACAAGTCTGCATTACTTCAATGAAGACCTGGATGAGGTTTGAGTGGGTTGGTGTTGTATTTTTTACAGAAATGATTTGGGCTATTTGGGTGACTATTGAGTTGTAGTGTTTGTTAGCAGTGTTAGCCTCACTGCTTGAGTTCTAGACTAAAGAAGCACAATTTAGCATGTCTTTGCTGATCAACTGATCTGTCGTAATTGTAAATGTATTTAAATTTGATTTTATACTGAACTGGTCCTTTAAGCCTGGCAGATAAAAAATGGCAGTGTTCTGGTTTTGGACTTTGCTATCAAGCTACTTGTATTCAGTTCTGATTGCAGGTTCCAAGCCCTGGTCCGGGAGCACCCCCTGTCCTGCATATGTCTTTATATACTCTATCACACCCACATCAGCTCAGTAAGGTCTTTTTAAAGAGGTCGTTAGTTTGAATTTGATGAATAAAAGTAGACGAAACTGATGGAGTACATAGTAATACACAGTGTTTATTAATAAGGCTTACATTGTGATGTTTTGGTTCATTTGTAAAAAGTGCACAGAACATGTAAAGCAGTATAAAATCATCTTTTAACTCAGTATGAGAGGTAGAGTGTACATGTGGTCTTCTCCATATATTAAGGGTTTTCACAGCATCCTCACAACAGCTGTTTACTGGGCCTGCAGTTTCACTGTTAAGCCTGTGCACAAAATAACAGCACTGACAGCTACATATAACTGAAAAAAGTAGTTGGGAAATGATTAGAAAAACATAAACTAAGCTCTGCATGAGAAGCAACAGCCAAAGACATGAAGAAAAGTATTTACGCCTCTCAGGGCTTATAGAATTACATGCAAATGTTCAACTGGTCTCTATTTAAAGGGGAATTCCACTTATATGTATATTTCTTTTTGCATAATTCAGTGGTTGAGAAGTAAACAATGTCATTCAGAGTGGTTTGTTGTGAAATGGTTCATTGTAGAGAAACTGACTTAATGTCTTTACAGTGGTAGTGATAGGAACCAGGGGTCGAAATGTCTACAACACATTTATAACCATTTTATTTACTATCCCAAATGACCAGGGAACATATCTGTCTTCTGAGTTTTTATATGTAATGTGGGTGATGGTAAAAAAGTGGTTAATTTGAAAAAAATATATATATTTTTCTTTAGAATTTTGCACTACAGTTAATGCTTGTACCTCTCCAATGTTAAAAATGCATTTTGGGTAAAAAGCTTATCTCAAAACTATTGTAACCCTTTATGTCTACTATCAGGCAATGAATTTGTTACCTATGTGTGTAATACATTTCTGTGAGGCATTAAACACTTCAGATGTCTGGTTCCTATCACAACACCTGTAAACAAATCTGTCTTGGCAAGTTAGAATGGAGCTTTTCACATCAAAGCACTCTTAATGACTTTGTTTACATCTCAACAATTTATTTATACAGAAATCTTGAAAAATTGGTGGGATTTACCACAAAAATGTCTTTTTTTTTCTTGATGTAAAAAACTGACCTTATCATCTACGGAAACGGTAAAACTTCTCAAAGTTCATAAAATGCATAAAACAGGACATAAACAAAATAAAATTTTGATTTTACTCAAAAATCACTGATGGTTGAGGAAGCAAAAAATGCCATGACTGTAAATATTTCGACGCTATAGTGGAAAAACATGTTCAAAAAATTGCATTAAATAATTTCTAGTGTTATTACAAAAATATTAAATGATCTGAAAATTAACGTTTTGATCAGTTAATATAAAGATTATTATATGCTAGAATATTATTTAATATAAATGTCACACCTTCATAGAAAGTGTGGTTTCATAACTGGAAATGTCCAACACGTGTTACACTACTTGCTAATAACTAAAAATATTGTGCTTCTTGAGAATAACTCAGTTTTCAATAATGTTCATATAATAAAATATTCAAGGCAGTTGCAGTGAAATATCAACAATAAAAATGGCTACAAATAAAATGGGTTTTCTACAAATGACTGTTGGTTAAATCCTGCGCTGTTGCTCATGGTCTGAGTGAGGCAGCCTTATTGAGCTTCACAGAGTGTTTAGCTCTTTCTCCATTCTAAAGATATGTTAAGTCATCATCCTGCAATCTTGCCTTGTTCTTTTTGTCTATCACACATGCTTTTGAACTTTGAGTGGACAGCCAAACTTTTTAGGGCCAGACCCAAATTAAGCCTAAACCTAGACTAAAAAGGATTTTTAATGATAAAACACCTTTAGCATTGCAGTTTAGCTCAAGACTCGGCTTAAATTATGTCCACAAAACCAGCCTTTAATATTTAGCCTTATCGTGGATCACGCTGTCCTTGCAGTGTTCACCATCAAAGACCTCATCTGTAGAAAAGTGATGCTGTTTTCTTTTGTAAAAAAAAAACAGACAGACGTGTAAAACTGTGCAAAAGCAGGCTCTGTATGTTTGTTTACTGATTGGTCTTTGTGTTGGTCTTTGGCCTCCTCAAATAACCCCTCGGAAGAGGAAGGAGAGGGCAGCCCCCAAAGCGAGGCCGAGAGACAGGAAGAAGGCCATGATTGCTCCGGCTGTTTCTGCCTCGTTCGCAGCCACTTTTCTGGATGGACAGAAGAGGAAAGAAACATCAGCCAAAGCACTTTGTGGTGTGGTATTGTATCCTGTGTGTGGAAGGCCTTCATATCCCCTTTAAAGCATGCTTCACCGAAAAATCTAACGCACAGTGTTCCCCCAGCCAAAACATGTTTGGTGTCTGAAGTATATATAGACCTATTACATTAGCCTTGTAGCATCAGAGGCAAACTAAACATGTCTTGACTGATTGAGTAAGTTTCTTAAACCATTCCTTTAAGACTGTAAAGGCAAACTATTTGTTAGCCAGAACCAACAACTCTTCAAAATAAAGCTGCCAAAAGGGTTTTTGGAAGGACTTTTTGGAAAGACATGTTAGATGAATAACCTGGCTCCCCAAAGAACCATACGATGGATGTTTTTAAAGAAATATAGCATATTCAACCAAAATCTGCTGAAAAAAATGGCATCATGTTCCTATGTACTTACAAAAAACTGGAAACTCAAAACAGTCTCTTCTGAGTTAAAAACAGCCAAATTATTGTACTAAACTAAAGTCATGGTAGTATCCCTGTTTATCCTTGAGGTTCACTTTTGAAATTTGAATTCTCTACAAGAGAGAGAGAGTGAGAGAGAAAGAGAGATATGGGGTTTGCTTTTGATTGGCTGTCCTGTATTGCAATTCAATAAAAAAGCAACCCAGGCTGAGACAATCCTTATAACTTCAGTGTGAATGTGCTGAGCTAAACTACTGTAGGCTGAATACACCAATATATGTACATTTTCATGACATCACAAAGACAGTGAATTCAAAACAGGCTGTTTTTGGACTGTACATTTTGAAATTTTAACAAGACTTTAACAAAAAAAAAAACAGTTTCGCATGATATGAGCCCTTTAAATAATCATCTATAGAAATGTTCTAGCAGCCGTTCTCCGGCTGGTCCTCAGAGATTCCCCATTTTGCTGTATCCCTAAGCAGTGTGAGAAAAGTTGGAGCAAAAATATGGAGCATCTGAGGGGCTGCGAAGATTTGAGAACCAGAGGTTTAGAGAACAAAAGGTGCTTCTTCTGTAGCATCCCTCCAAAGAACTCTTGTGGCACCTTCATTTTTAAAGGTGTAGGACAGTGGTGTCCAGCCCTGGTCCTGGAGCGCTTCCTTCCTGCCAAGTTTAGTTCCAACCTGTATCCAATCAGCTGCCCCCTTTAAAGGCATGCTTCATCACAAAACCATGTTTCGTGTTTAAATACACAGACTAATTACATTAGTTCCAAACCGTATACCATAGGCTGCCCCGCCCCTTGCTTAACTCTAATACATCTGATCCAGCCAATCAGTGACTTGGGAAGAGGTTGATTAGCTGGAGCAGGAATGGAAAATTGTGGTTGGAACTAAGCTCTGCAGGAAGGCAGCTCTCCAGGACCAGGACTGGAGACCACTAGTGTAGGAGGTGACTGAGTTGACTTACTTGGGACCAAAGCACATGCAGAGGCTGGCCAAGTATCCGTTGGAGAAGGCAAAGAAGATCATGAAGACGATGTACCAGGCATCATGTTCAAAGAATATGGGAATGCTGTAGCGTGGCTGGACATTACATAACATGAAGAGGGGCACAAAGACCACACGGGCCAGCAGCAGCATCGGCAAGAGCTTACTGTCCTTCCCAGGCTGAGAGAGGAATAAAGAGACAGAATTAGTGGAAAATACTTTATAATGCATGTCAAACAAAATGTAAGTCAAATGTGAGTTGCTGTTTTAAGGTTTTCTTCTGTCAAAGTTAATCAAACCCCATCCAGAAACGTTTACATAACTTCACAGCCTTATTACAAAAGGTATTAAATCAGTGTTGAGCCGTCACTCTTGATGAAAAACAAGGAAAAAACACTTCTGCAGTAATGCTAATTCCTGCTAGCACTTGTATGTAATTCTGATAATACGTTAGCATTAAGCTAATGGTGATTCACATAAACATTTTGGGACAGACAGACAAGCTTGTGACAAACATATTAGCGTTTATTTTACCTTGTAGCAGTTTTACAGTGACTCTTTCAGCAAAGAGTCCTGGCATAGAGTATCTTGAACTTCCAGATAGCCCAGAGTAGCCTCACACAACACAATCACCTTTTGTAACTCAAATGTGATTGGTTGGTTCCACTGTCAGTTCCTAATTATGTTGGTAGTTAATCTGACACATTAGGCTTCAGCCCCTGAGGTCCTAGCCAATGGGAGAGCTAGCTTGACTGTATCTACCTAGATACCACAGAGAAAATAAATCCTGACTGGATAATTTGCCTTTTTGGGCAGGTCAACAATTTGATCCTTTTGTTTCCAGTGAAAGCGTACAAAAAAGTATTTCTAGCGTTTAAACACAACGAGCAGACATGTATTTCTCATTTCACAGAATAATTAAGCCTTCTCTTCCTCCGCAGTCTGTTTTTTATGGCAGCCTATAAATTAACATATTAGATAAATGAATAATTGACTTGTTAACAAGCCCTTTGCAACTGGTTTCAAAGGTAATTCAGTGTAAGCTGCAATTTCAATGTATTAAAGGTACAATCAGCTTCATTAAGCGGTTCATCTTACTTAGAATAGATGAAGTGCCACCCTGAAACTAGTGGAACTGAATGCAAAAAGCCTCGGTGTCTCTGAATCAGAGCTGATTATAGTGTGAAACTGATTCTGAATTTGTGTTTGAATAAAACGAACTGCAGCCAGTGGAAGACTTACATTGGTGGTGAATTAGAATTCAGTCCTATAACAAGGCCAGTGCTGTATTAGTCACATACACAACCAACTGATGAAATTCTAATAAGCAAAATGTAAGTTTTGTGTATGTATGCATGTGTTAAGTGGATTTCTTACCCACATACACACAGCAGTCAAGCTCCGGCCTGCCCAGTCACACACGTTAAAGAGCAGGAAACAGGACACGGGGATGAAGTAATCCCCTGAAATGAGAGGGAACAAGGTCAACAATACCAACAATATCAGATCGACATGATTTATAATATGAAATATAGAACTGATCATTTATCCATTTGACCTAAATCTAAATTTTTTTTTTTTAAATATTATTTAATTTATTTAGCCAATCTATACCTGCACATATAGATTGACATCTTGTACATCTTCTATCCATATCTTGTAATCTGTAATATATATATATATATATATATATATATATATATATGTGTGTGTGTGTATATATCAATATTCTATCCCATATGTAAAACATATCATAGCTTTTATTTCATAACTTATTTTACTGTACAAAAACTGTATATTGAATGGTGCAACACTGATGTATACTAATGTGTATATTGTGTATATGTATATATATACATATATTCTTCTTTGTGTCTTTTCTTATTTATTTTTTGTATATTTAAGTACTACAAGTGGGCTACGCACCTAAGATCTTCGTTCACCTTCGCACGTGTGTAAATGTGATGTGACAGTAAAACCCTGATCATCTCACATTTACAAAATACTTTCAGGAAACTGTGAATTTGTGTTCAACATGTAGCATGCAAAATTTTATGCCTGTACCTTCCTTAGTTTCTGAGACAGGTCATCACACTTAAAGTGTTAACATCATTTTCTAAGATTGTTCTGTGTTTAATGACAGAGCTTCCCAACCTTTTGCAAGGTTTTTACACTGACTTGCACTGAAACTATACGTACCTATTGCTAGCTCTGTCAGTCATGAATTTTGCCAGACCAATCATTGAGATTGACCCAAAAATGTTGGTGTTTTATTTTTGCAAATCATCATCACAACATTAACATTTGCTATTTTTATAACTACTGGTTTGGTTAAGCATCCATATATTGTATTGCAGTTTTGATATTTAAAAAAATAAATAGATAATGACTGCCAGTGCCCCCCTAGCAGTGTCTTCACAGCCTAATGGGGGCTTCAGGGCACCCAAAAAACATTTTAAGGGGGACGTTTAACTATAAAAGAAGAAGATGCATGAAAAGCAATTTTAAAAAGTGTACATTTTTGTGCAAAATTTAGCCGTAGATATCTCCACAGTGACAGGCATCTTTCAAATTTTAGTATGTGTTACTAATCAAGACCAAACTTTACTGAAGTGTCAGTCACAAAATTGCATTAGATAATAAACTATACTCTTTCCAATTCTATAAATTATTGTATTGTGTTCCATGGTGATGTTTTTATTTATGACTCCATAAATCAGAAACCTTGAATATGTAGAAGGTCAAAGTTTAACTACTCCTTAAACCGTAGAACCACCTCTGAAAACTTGCATAAAGCATTAATACTTTAAAAGTAGACTCCAAGTTGTAACCCTTTTATAGTACTTATTTTCAGGCACAAATTAAGGATATGCATACTTTTCAAAACCTCTATATCCCATAAACTAATTAAGACACAAGTCTAACACCATCAGCTGCACACAATGACATTATTCCCTGAAAGTATGAAGCAAATATGGGATGGTCAGTCTGGGGTATTTGGTGATTTCACATGTGTTGACCCACATGCATGTTTACTCATTTATGTGCAGCCTGAATTTAAGCCTAAAGCACAAACACATGCACACTGCAGCTTACCCCAAGCTCCTCCATCAGCAATGCTAGATTTAGCATCTGCAGTGACAGCAGGGAAAGTGCCAATGGTTACTGTGAAGCAAAAGCACACAGAGAAGGCCATCACCCAGATCTACAGAGAAAGAGAGAGAGAGAGAGAGAGAGAGATGACTGAAAGAGTGACATACGTGAAGATGAAAAAATGTACACTTGAATTGAATTGATTGAATTTGTCGATAATTTGGAGATGAATGGACTTATTTGCATTTATAATTACTCCAGCTGGTTTCCTGATACATTTAATCTGCAACAAGAAACTGTCAAACACTAAAAAGTCACAAAGCTGAAGTCGCTTCTCATTCCCGTTCCACCTTATATGGTGCAGCAGTTACATTCTGGTGCGTCAGGCACCATTTAAGGTGGACCGGTAGAATTCGAACAAGTAGCTGGCGAACGAGAAGCGACTTCAGCCACATAAAAAATCAAACGTTGAAAGACATTTTACAGGAAACTATTCTACTTTTGTTTCCTGCCCGAGATGTAAGAAAAGCAGCTATAGTTGTGCTAAACCTTAAAGCAGAACAAAGTTAGTCTGAATTTTCGTTGATATTATCTTATTTAGCACATACAGCGACATATTCACAGCTAAGATGGTAAAATGGACATGAAATGTTGTGGCTCCCAAGGCGGTTTGATTTTTGTTGAGAGGACAAAATGGCTCTTCTTAACATTTGGGTTGCGAACCCTGACCTACACTCTTAAAAACAGAGAGGGTTCTTTGGAATGATACCATTCTATAAAGAACCTATCAAATAATGGCCCTTTTAAAACTCAATTCTAAGACTTTTTAGGAAATTAAAAGTGCTTTCTCTAAGTTATTCACTTCAAACAAGCCTTCTGGACCTTTGGTTTTTATGGCCGTTCAACCTAATCAAAGTGCAGTACAGATATATATAGAGAGAAACGCAGAGCTGTACCTTCTTAAAGATGTCTACAATGGAAGGACTCTTCTGAACGTCCTCACTGGTGCTTGCTCCTTGCTTGTTCTCCCCTAAAGCAGGTTCAAAACATCTCACGTTAGATTTAAAATCACAAACTTGAGTGGAAATCCAAAATACACAACCAAAATACAAAAGTGGTCCACCTTTTCGCAACAAATCCATTCTGTTCTCATCTTGTTCAGGACTGCTATGGCTTTTTTCCTGGTAGTACTGGAAAAATTCCTACAAGAGGAAAGATGGTGTTTCTTTACAAGTGCATGGAATAACTGTTGCTATTGGCAGCGTCTGGTTTTACACTCACCAGTTTGGGGAGAGCAATGTAAGACAGGATGGCGAGGCCTATCACGGCACAGGCTGTGATGAAGTAGCCAAAAGCACTGTCCGTTATAGCAGAACCACCTGAGGAAGAAAGAGACAGCAGGAGAAGGAGATAAGAACCATATTTCGCCTAGATGTTTTAGAAGGAGAGGTTTTAGAAGGCGTTTTATAAGGAGAGATTTTAGAAGGCATTTTAGAGGGAGAGGTTTTAGAAGGCGTTTTAGAGGGAGAGGTTTTAGAAGGCGTTTTATAAGGAGAGGTTTTAGAAGGCGTTTTAGAGGGAGAGGTTTTAGAAGGCGTTTTAGAAGGAGAGGTTTTAGAAGGCGTTTTAGAGGGAGAGGTTTTAGAAGGCGTTTTAGAAGGAGAGGTTTTAGAAGGCGTTTTAGAAGGCGTTTTAGAGGGAGAGGTTTTAGAAGGCGTTTTAGAAGGCGTTTTAGAGGGAGAGGTTTTAGAAGGTGTTTTAGAGGGAGAGGTTTTAAAAGGCGTTTTAGAAGGAGAGGTTTTAGGAGGTGTTTTAGAGGGAGAGGTTTTAGAAGGCGTTTTAGAAGGAGAGGTTTTAGAAGGCGTTTTAGAAGGAGAGGTTTTAGAAGGCGTTTTAGAGGGAGAGGTTTTAGAAGGCGTTTTAGAGGGAGAGGTTTTAGAAGGCGTTTTAGAAGGAGAGGTTTTAGAAGGCGTTTTAGAAGGAGAGGTTTTAGAAGGCGTTTTAGAAGGCGTTTTAGAGGGAGAGGTTTTAGAAGGCGTTTTAGAGGGAGAGGTTTTAGAAGGCGTTTTAGAAGGAGAGGTTTTAGAAGGCGTTTTAGAAGGCGTTTTAGAGGGAGAGGTTTTAGAAGGCGTTTTAGAAGGAGAGGTTTTAGAAGGCGTTTTAGAAGGAGAGGTTTTAGGAGGCGTTTTAGAGGGAGAGGTTTTAGAAGGCGTTTTAGAAGGAGAGGTTTTAGAAGGCGTTTTAGAAGGAGAGGTTTTAGGAGGCGTTTTAGAGGGAGAGGTTTTAGAAGGCGTTTTAGAGGGAGAGGTTTTAGGAGGCGTTTTAGAGGGAGAGGTTTTAGAAGGCGTTTTAGAAGGAGAGGTTTTAGAAGGCGTTTTTGAGGCATATTTTAAGCCTATTTTTTATGTAATCTTACTTGCGATGGCACAGATCATAGAGAAGGCAGCGAAGGTGCCGGCCAGCCCCTGGCCACTCATGATTGGTGTAGTGTAGGAGGCAGGCAGTGTCCCAGCCATGCCGAAGAGACTACCCTGCAGAACAGCTCCAAATGCTGGACAAGTGAGAAGTGAGGACACATAAATGCACTGTTGACCACACACATGCACAAGTGCTTGGCTTTTAATGAGATGTTTTTGAGACAGCTAGATACAAGTGTCCAACTGGGAACCCTCAGGGCAATGAAGGCCTGACCATTTCAGATACATGTCTGTAATTTTTAGTTCATTTTTATTTACCACAATCATCATGCTAGTTTATTTAACCTCTGTAAGTGTTGTTATTTGTAAGTTTTGGATGGAAACAGAAGGGTTAAAATCTTTAGAAATGGGGAAAACAATCCTGTAGTATCTCGATTGATACAGTCAAACTAGATCTCCTATTGGTTAGAACTTCAGGAGCTGGACTGATGGCCTTACATGTTAGAATAACTGTCACTATAATTGAAAGCTGATAGTGGAATCAACCAATCACATTTTGATTTACAATGAGTGGGACCAATTTATGTTTTACCTAAAACAATGGACTATCTTAGCAGCAGATAACTGTTAAAACTCTTTAAATGTCCTCAATGTACAGTAGGTTTTTTAAAACTGCCTATTCACTTGAACTAAACACCTGGCATCTTTTTTGTTTTGTTTTGTTTTTGTGGTGCATTCCCATAGATTGTTGGAGAGGGGGTGGAAGCACACATTATGTTGCAGTGCATGCTGGGAACTGTAGTGCAGTTTGTGGTGAAATGGGCTAATATTGACAGAAAATTACAATAATTTTGTGTGCCAAATAGAATTGTACCACAGGCCTGACTTGGCCCACAGGCCTTGTGTTTGACACATGGGCTCTAGAATGTCACTCCAGGCCTTCTGGAAGTCCTTGATACATCACTGACTGTGAATGTATGAGCAGTAGTCTAACCAGGTTTCAGTCATTTAGAAATGGTAAACTAAAAAAAAAAGTGGCGGCAACTCTACGGCAGGGTTCTTTACTGAAAGAGTCTGCAATATGCAAGGTAAAATGTATGTTAATGCCTGCTTCAAATGTTTGTGATTAATCTAGAGTGGCCAAAAACTATTAACATGCACCAGCAGTAACTTAGCACTAACAAATCATTAGAAATTCCATAGGTGCGCTAGCAAAAATTACTGTAGAGATGTTTTTATCTCATTTTTTTTTTTATTTACCCGATTTTCTCCCCAATTTAATCATCTCCAATTCCACCCACTAGTTAGGACTCCCCCAATCACACGATGCTATCAACGCTAGGAGGGTGAAGGCTAACACAGGCTTCCTCCGAGACCTGTGAAGCGCCACCGCTTCTTTTTGAACTGCCGCTCACGCAACGTCATTGGACAGCCGAACGCACTCGGAGGAAAGCGCCAACCGCCAGATCTGCTACGTCAGCTAACGCTGACTAGCATTGCGTTGGGTGATGGGGGGGAGAAGGAGGGGCCATCCTACCCACCCAGAGAGAGCGAGGCCAGTTGTGCTCTCTTGGACTCCCGGCTACGGATGGCTGTAGCATCACCAGGGATCGAACTTGTGATCTCCTGATGATAGGGCCAATGCTTAGACGGTTGCGCCACTCTGGAGCCCTTTTATCTCATTTTTTGATCAGGTTTTGACATTTATGCTCAAACTAGAGACCTAACTCTAATAGCCATGATTCACCACCACTACACTATTAAAAATCCTACAAATGTGCTATCAAAAATGAGCATTATAAATAAGGGTTTTTACATTTTGACATTTATAGCTTTAACTTAATGCCTAGCTTTGATAGTCAAGGTTTACAGTACATCTACAGCTCACTGTCACACCACATTTCACACAAATAGACACAATCCAGGTAAATTCTCAAAAAAAAATTTTATGTGTGTTTATTTGTGTGAAGCAGTACTCACCATTAATGATGACGATTTTTGCCATGGTGATCACAAAAAAGGGCAAAGGCTCCACTGACAGTTTAACCAGGATAGCAGTGACCAAAAACACCAACAGGATGGCAGACAAACTACCCATGATCCTTAGCTTCTGAGGGATTCTGTTATGAGGATAAGGTCAAAGGTTATGAAATGATGAAACCTGAACAGTCTGAGAAAAGATGCATGCTACTGTTTCATGCACCCATACATACATTTCATACTGTACATCCATACCATCATCTACTCAACTGTCTACCTACACATTTATCCATTCATCATCATAACCTATATGTCCGAAAGTGTCCAGACAGCCCTTATAATTAGTGAATCCAGCTACTGTAAGGTAACCCAGGTGCTCAGTTGAGCACACATGGCAAGGATAATCTCCATAGAAAAGCATTGACCACTGGAATGGGTCACCCTGCCCAAAGCGTTGACTACAGGGGTATGAAGCCCCACCAGCATTGGACTGTGGAGCAGTGTGGAGCTCCATCCAGCGCCTTCAGGATGAGTTGGAATGGTATTTGTGATCGAGAACTAATCATTCAACATCAGTACCTGACCTCACTAATGCTCCTGTGGCTGAATGCAATCAAATTCTCACAGCAATGTTCCAATATCTAGCGTAAAGCCTTCCAAGAAGAGTAAATATTGTTATAGTAGCAAAGATAGAACAAATTCTCTATGAATAACTTTGATTTTAGAAGAAACGTTGGATGAGCAGGTGTCTACAAACCTTTGGACATATAGTGTATTAGGTCTTTGTCCATTATTGAAATGTTGTCTATTGCTGAATAATATTTCACTCGACTTTTTTGAACATTTCAGCAGAAATGTTCAGGTGCTCTTGCTGTGAACTGACACCACATCATTCTTCAGACCATCCATCCGTCAGTCCAGCTTATAAACTAACCAGCATACTTGTTTTTCAGATTAACAATAAACAGCTTCATACTTGCCTCTGGTGTAGAAAGGAGTTGAGACAGGTGAAGGCTAAAAGTGGGATCATGGCACACAGAGTCATCACATTATTGAACTTGGCTTGCAAGACGCTCCGGTTGTCTCCCTCAGCCTCTCCCACGACGGTTGAGTTGTCCGCCAGGCGGCTGGTAAAATACTGCAGACGTGGACACAGAGGATATTAGACTGGATAGTAATGCTCCTTATAGATGGCATTTCAAAATATCAGTATAACAACTGGAACATTTTCAATGAACACCAGTTTGCAAGAAGGACAGCTCAATACCGCTGTGGCAGTCATGAAGAAATTCCATGGCAGTAGAGTTCCTAATCCAAGCATGAAGAAAATCAGCCACACAGCATTGTACCTGGAAGATGAAACAAGAATCAATCATGCTTTGAATGAAGTTCAGCTTCAGGCTTGTCTTGCGTCAGTCAATCATCACTCCTTCACAAACCACCTCTTTATTTCACTCAGTAAAGCAAGAAAACTTCATTAACTTGTCTGCAGGTTCCTGTGTGGCCATTTTGGTGTAATAGTGTCGTTTCCAGTTCTTCTCAGTTCTCACTGAAACCTGGAGGTTACAAGAAGAACAGGGAGGGTTCCTCAGGCAAAAAAGGACCAAATACAACAACATTCATTCAAAATGTGAATCCATGATGCCTTTTCAGTCTGGAAACCGTCTTAAGGTGTGTTATCAACAAAGACAAAACAATGGAAAGTTTATTTGCCTCTAATTTAAACTTTCCATGGTTAATGCCGTGCAAAGCAGACATCTCAAACCTAGAAACTATACTCTAGGTTTTTTTTTATATTGTTTGTTCTGTTGTTTTGGTTCACAATTTGAAGATCATAAAAGAATGATCAGTGATTATAATATTAAGTACGATGAATGACCACAAACAGCTTGTTGGGAAAATTGTAAATGTAGAGAAAGATGTTTATTGTAAAGCAATAAGCCCTCAGAGACTGCTGTAATTTTACCACGAGAAAGGAGTGTTGTTATGCACTAAGTGAAGAACTTTGTATCATTATGTAGTGTCATTATGTATGTATTGTATGGAGACACCACTGTGATGTGTCAAATCAAATTCTGAATCCTTACCAAACAATGATATATTAAGTATTATTCAACTGCATTTGTCAAAGCTCAGCCAATCAGATGTTAGTACTGTAACTGTCCTTTTTATATTGTCAAATAAGTATAAGAATGTAAGTCAGTGTTATTAAGATAAACTACACTTTTTGGAGTGATGCTAGAGAAGAACCACATTTGGTTCCCTTAAGAACCTTTCAACTGAGTGGTTTCATTTGAGCCCCTCCAACAAAAAAACAGCTATTAGCCATTCTGCCTTTTTGCATGATCATTTAATTTGTTTTCTATTTTATGTTGCACAACGTTTTACATTAAAAAGCCAAACTATGCTTTATTTACAGTTGACTCCTTTCTTTTAAATACTTTAAATGCTTATATCATTTTTACAAAAAATGTCCCAAATACTGTTTTTTTTTTTACAAGTTGTTGCTAACCCCTAAAACAGATTGTCCGCTAAAAATAATACACAACACACAAATGTGCAGTTATGCAGATATGCACTAGCAGTAGATATAAAACAAGATACTCACTACACTGGACAGTACACTGGACACACTGATCCTATATGTCCATATGCTCCCTTAGATCGTACTCTCATTTGACTTAGCTGGCAAACCGCCCACAATATATAGAGTTGCGTACGCCTTTCAGTCAGCATGCGTTAGTTCTAAGAATCCAGCTGACTCCGCCCTCCCTGTTGTGTGGTGGGTGAGGGGCTGCACATTTCTGAGACTGATAGTGGAAACACTCTCTATCTCAGGACTTGCACCCTATTCACATGCAGCTAGCATCGCTATGAACCCACCGTTAACTGCTGCCTGACTGTCATGCAGGACTACGCTCTTAAAAACAAGGCTTGTCTTTAAGAAAAGGCTGGGGTTGTGGACTGATGAAGTAGAGCAACCTAAACCCAGATATATTGTTACTTCAATGAAATCATAACTCAAGCAGCCAAAACCTCCTCGAGCATTTCTTCATACAACTCCAGTGGAATTTCTTCTCCAGTTATCAGCAGAGGAACTAAAGTACACTAGGTGCTATTGTCTTTTTGGGTTCTCTTTTGGTCTAAAATAAAATGATAATGCTGATCAGAGCAGTCTAGATGCCAAATCCGCAAAACAGGGTGAAATCAAACCCAGTGAAGGAATTAAGAAGCAAAAAAGAATGGCTGAAGTGGAGCGGAGTAAAAAGTAGATTCATTTCCTGACAAACTTGCTTATGCACGAGTAAAAGTGTTATCATTAAAAAAATCACTGTCTGCATAATTGAGTGATGATAGAAACAAGGTGTCTTCTTAAATGTGTTTTACAATAGTTTTGACCAGTCATAAAAGAATGGTCAGTGATTAGAATACTAAGCAGAGAGAATGATCACATACAGCTTGGTAGGAAAATTATAAATACAGAAAAAAAGTGTTTATTATAAAGCAATAAACTCCAAGAGGCTGCTGGAATTGTACCACAAGGAAGCAATGTTGTTATGCACAAAATGAAGCATATTGTATGTAGATATTATTACATTTCAATATCATTACTGGTTAAAATATTTTAAAAATGAATTCAGGACAGAGATAGTACCCCATAGGCAAATGGTACCCAAAGAAAACTTTTGAGATTTACCATTATTTTACCATCATCAACATCACATTTAAAAAAAAAAACTTGGGTAGATTCACTGGTTGTTTTGGATAGTAAATAAATGCTTATATTTGTGTTGATTATATCACAACCCCTGGTTAATATGATCACCACTGTAAAGACCAAACCACTCTGAATGCCTTTGTTCACATCTTAACAACTGAATTATGCAGATTTTTTTTTTTTAAATCAGTCAAATTCCCCTTTAAGTACATGTAAGTGACTAAATGCAGCTAGTTCTCACCCACCTCTGTTTGTAGCTGCAACCACTAAAACACTGAAAGTTTTTTTCCCCTCCTGAAAGTTTCCCTGGGGTTCTTCTCAAGGACACAACATGGACTTACAAGATCACTTAAGCAACTCTGTACTCTGTGATGAGCTGGTTTAGAAGCTCAGTGGTAAAGTGACTTCAAAGATGCATGGCAGCCCAATGGGCCATCAAAAGAGACGTTTACCTCCAGATGATTTGTGTCTATATGCTAAAGACAGAATTAGATCAGCTCATGCATGAATACAAAAACAAGCTTATCTCCTCCACACAATGCGCAGTGCTCTCCCTGATTGCCCTGTTTACACGGTTCTGATCTAGCGTGAAGGAAAAGGGGAAGAGGAGTAAAGCTATTTAGAGGCACATCTGCATTTAACCAACAGCTGAACCAGTTAAAAAGATGGTGGTCATCTCTGATGGTAAGATTCCACATACAGTTCTAGGAAAAAACACTTTCAACTTTAAAAAAGTTCTTCACACACGTCTCATTCACAAAAAGCATTATTTTAATGGGCCGATATCATGGAAAACCAAACTGTCCTAATTTTTTTAAATAATAAAGTTTGATGTAGTGTTTAGACATCGTTTAGGTTTCAAAATATGCTGTTCCCTCTCCATACAGACCATCAATGCTTACTAAGCTGCAAAAAACAGCCCATTTTGAATGTTTCTGTCAGGTCATGAAAACTAATGCCTTTACATATAGTTATGTGCAAAATGTTTTGTTGAGAGAACTCATTTCTATACATTTTAATGCATAATTACTGTATATTTGTGGAATTTAACATGTTTAACATGGGGAAAAACATTAAATGTAGCCTGTGCAAAGTTAGTACACATTTTATATTTTATTTCTTGATTTCTTTTCATATGTTCAACTCATCACATAAATAGAAACACTCAAATTTGCCTCTGTAGATGTTTTGACTTATTTTCACTTAGAAAATCAACATAATGTACTTTGACTGGGGGTGTTCAAACTTCTGCATGCGACTATCTACCCATTCAGCCTATAGCAGTTTAGCTCTGCCCATTAACACTAAATGGAGTAATTCAGTCTGGCCTTTTCAGTGAGGCACAGTACAGGATAGCCAGTCAGAGCAGAGGTCATTTACATATGTCTCTCTAAAAGGGAAATTCCACTGAATTTTCAAAATGTCTGCATCATTAATCAAAGAGATTAACAAAGGCATTCAGAGAGGTTTGATATGAAATAGTTCATTGTAGAGAAACTTACTGTCTCAAATTTCTTTACAGTGTGGTGTTAGGAACCAAGGGATATAATGTCTACAGAACAAATATAGCCAATTTATGTACTGTTTAAAATGACCAATGAACCAACATTTTCTGAGTTTTTGCATGTAATATTGACGATGGTGAAAAAACGTGGTAAATCTGAAAAAAAGCCTACAACATCCTACGCATTCCTCTCTGCCATAAACAGTTTTCAAAAACTATCATGAAACAGTGTCTCAGGCATCAGGCAGCATATTCATACATTAAAAAGCTCCTGTGATGTTGCTATTAGAGGGATTAAACTCTTCAGACATCTGGTTCCTCTCACTCCCACTGTGAATAATTCTGACTCCATAAGTATCTCTAGCACAAAGCATTTCACATCAAACCACTCTGAATGACTTGATTGACCTCTCAACTATACCAAAAATTGGTGGAATTCCCCTTTAAAAGCACAGTGACAAAAACTGCCTGTTTTACCCCTTAAAACCCCATGTTTTTTACATACTAAGGCTTATTATTCAGTAACTACAGGGACTTCAGTGCAAACTGGCTGAGCTGTTCTTATGTTATAGAAGTGTGCAATAAAACTTCGGGCCTGCCAGCAGGCCCTGGCCATGTAAAGGGTTAATTCAAAGGTATAAAGAGAGGTTGTAATATATGTAAAAATTTAATTGTGACTGTTCTTGGAACACAACTCCACAGAAACATCATAATATGACATCAGGGAAAAAAATAAAATTTAAGAAAATGTAGGATGGGCCCTTTAAAGAACCATCCATCGAGAGGTTCTTTAAGGAATCAGCAGTGGTTCTTCTATGGCCGCACTTGTTTTAGATTTTGGGAATTTACTTTTCCTACAGATTCATCTGAGCTCTTAATCCATGTGCTTTTTCAGTTGTAAAATGTGATTTGCTGTTAGAGTGAACTGGCAGATGGCAGACTGAGGTCAACAGAAAGCAAAGTCAGCACTTTGACAGTTTCCCCTCTCACCACAAAAAGGGGAACTTTTACATCCAGATTATGTTCATGTTTTATGCTCAGGTTTAGTCACAAACACATCCTACAGCATGTGAGTGTTTGCAGAAATGGTTCTAATCTCTGTGTCATCATTGTGATCAAACTTCGACCTAGATTTGCCACTTAGCATTGCTTTGGCTAAGAAGACGACCTCAGGATGAGTGTGTGTCGGGGGTGTGAGTTTCTTTACTTTCCCTTCTTTGATTAGCAGGATTCTGTACTTCTAATCTTAACTTCCATATCCAATAAGAAATGCTAATGAAACAATGTATGATCAAATTCACTGATCATAGATTGATTGCTGTGCTATGCATATCAGCAAAACCCAAAATCAGCTCCTCAGACATCAGATTACAAAAGGGAGGTAGAAACATCTGGCAATGTCATGCAGGAACGGGGTTTGTTTCTTCAGCACAGGGCAAGACATGTGAGGGTTAACGTTACATCCTGCAAAAACCGCTGCAGACAAAAATGTCATGATTGTTTTCTTTCCAGAATTACCCACTTCCATACCAGAGAACTCAGTGCTGGAGGAAGTCTGCCCAGACACCACCTCTCACTGTCTCCTACTGATTGTCCACATTGTTCAGGAACACCTGGAGAAGGCATTATGGATTACGGGAATGACTTGATTTACTCAAATCTCTCTACTTCAAACGACCGGAGTGTTGTGGCCGAATCTAATTAGTTATGTAAAGCTAACAAAGGCCACACAAGGTGAAAAGAGCCCAGAGCAAAGTACTTATCTGCTGTGTAATACACTAACATGACACAGGCCATGATGGGGAATTGATCAGATAATGAGTGAGGAATCTTCCCAGGTTAATGAAGGTGTGAAAATACTGCATTCAGATTTCTTTACAGTGGTGGTGATGAGAACCAGGGGTCCTGATGTCTACAAGCCATTTTGATTAACCATTCAAAATGACCAGTGACCTGCCTGTACCTCTCTGCCATGAATGGATTTGAGAAAGGGGCAGCAGACAGCGCATCTGTAGCCATTTCATGTGATATTTTTCTGATGTAGCTTTAGAGGACATGAAACACTTCAGGTGTTTGGTTCCTTTCACCACCACTATGACAAATTCTGACTCAGTAAGCTTCTATATAATGGAGTCTTTCACATCTAAACTCTCTAAACGACTCTGTTTACATCTTAATGATTTAATTAAGCAGGAACGTTAAAACACTGGAATTCTCCTTTGAGTATACGGTAGCTTGTGAGCTTGTAAATGAGTGATATCATAGCCTACTGGTCTAAAAGCATGTGCAGAAAAAGATAAATCTATCATCACAGCACAGATTAGGAAAGGCATCACACAATTAGGGTTGTTTATTCTTAGAAAGAAAGATGCCATAAAGGATTCTTTGGAGTGATGCCACTGAACCCCCAGGCCCTGTTCCAGTTCTATTTTTAGTTCACCCTCGCCCATTTCGACCTACATCACACTTATGCTACACAAGTGGCCCCTCATGGCAGACGTGGAGGAGGGGACGGTGAGGAGCAGATTATTCAAGCAGACCACACTCGCCCTCGGCAGGTTGACCTCAGTGAGCTAATCAGCTAGCCATGCAAATTTTACAATGTGAATTTTCATAACATTTGT